TTCATTCCATTTCCGGCAAACTTTTGACCGATCATTGTATGAAAGACCCCAAGCAATCCATGCAATTGGTTTCATATCTCTTTCATCACTGTCCATGTAAACACATAAATCACTTCATATGATCATTTCTCTTATTTCACATACCTGGAAGGATTCTCTGATGATAGCATTCATTCATATAAGATCATGATAAATCATAAATAAATTATACATGAAGTTACTATAACATTAATACACATATATATGTATGCATGTACATGAATATGGAATCATAAATTCAATTATAAGAGATAGACTTATCACAAGTCTTATCTCAATGCAATTCTATCTAGGATAGGAACTCACCTTAACCTTGCTTACTTTGACTCGATTCTAATCCTTCGATTATTCCGAAACAAGATTATGTTCTATATCTACATAGTAATACATTGATACATGTCAATATACTAATTGATATATTCTAAACTACCACTCCTTAGGCTAAAAAGAAAGATATTTTATCTTTTAATGAAGGTATGCATCGATGCACTCTACAGTGTATCGATGCACTCCTTAACGGGTGCATCGATGCACTACACATGCATCGGTACACAAATCCCATTCGATGTTTGTATTTTAAGCGGGTGCATCGATGCACTAATGGCATTCGATGTTCCTTATTTGAGAGTGCATCGATACACACAACCCAAAAATGTTATTTTAGCACGAAAATTCCTTCAAAATCCTCTCAACACTTCATATTTCACCTCTTTTTATATTCTTAACTCTTATACACCTATTTAAACTAATTAGTATCCATTCAATACCTCTTAAACTTAAAAATCCATTCCTCCACATGGAATTCAAGAATCTCACTCAAATTCCAACATGTTTCAAATATAATTCTAACACTTCGTATATCTTAATTAAGTCGATGACAAGTTAAATTCAACCTCTGATTCCAAATATGAACTCTATTTCAAAATTTCATTCAAGAACTCCTAATCTTTAATTCTTCCTACACCCTTCATCTTGTTGTTTTACAGCAAATTAAGCTTTCCTTAAGTTTAATTAGCATCTAAGGAGCAAAACTAAACTTAAATTTCAACAAACAATTAGCTTATGAGAAATCTCACCTTTGTTTTGACATCTTCACGTGTGGAGAAAGAATAGAAGAAGAACTCTGGAACCTTGTGTTTTGCTTCCTTTTCTTCCACGTGGAGCTAATATATAAATCCCTTCTTTAATTATTTTTTTCCTTGCAAAAGACCATTATATCCTTCTATTCTTTCTTCTTGCAATTTAACCCTATACCCAATTACAATACCATTCAATTATTCTATTTTAGTCATCAAATTCTAAATTTTTACAATTTAGTCACTAACCTGATATTGAGGATATTACATGGGTATTTATGGTGGTTGAAGAGAAAGTTATATTTAGTTGAAATAAGATTAAATTTTGATTTTAGGAGTGTTAATTGAAGTATAAACAAGCATGAAAATTGATTGGAAATGATTAGAGGGGCTTAATTAAAAGTTTCTGTTATGATGGGGCATTAGGGAGAGATGTTGAAAATTGGTTATTTTGATATGTGAATGGTTTATAATGTTTGAATTTGATTAAAAATGAATACAATATGATGAATTTAAGTTTGAAACAAATTTAGGGACTATTTAGGAAAGATTCAAAGCATTCGGCCTATAAGGAAAATTGTTGGAAATTTTTTCAAAAAATTTCTTAAGGGCTTACAATGCTTATGGAAGTGATCTTATGTGCTTGAAATCATGTTTTGGATTAAATTGATGCTTGAATAAATTAGAGGACAATTTCATAAATTATGGAAATTAGAAGGATCCATGTGCAAAAATGAGAAAGTTATGGTTCCATACTGAAATTTATTATTAGTGTGATGAGACATTGAATTTAATATTACTTTAGAATGGTTGGACTCGATTATAAATGAATGTTGGATGATGATTCAAGCTTGAAAACAAATTGAAGACCATTTGGGGACTACTTTGTAATTTTTGGTCATAAGGAGGAATAATTAGAAAATTGTAATAAAAATGTCCTAGGGATTAGATTGGATTTAAGGATGATTTTCATGCCTTGGAATTGAGTTTTGGATCATTTTGGAACCATAATAAGTTAGAAGGCCATTTTCGTAAGTTTTGAATAATGGAAGGATTAAGTTGTAAATATTTAAAAATTTAAAACATTATGCAGGAAATTAGTGATGGAATATTGATTTTGGATTGAAATGAAAAGTTGTGTAATTTTATGGGGTATATTCGGGAGTTTCGAAAAGTTAGGGGTGAAAATTGCAAAAGTACAATGCTAATGTATTAACTTGGAAGTGTTAGATATAGTAGGAAAATGATTATTGATATGGATTAAAGTGAATTATTAAAGGATTTGGAAAGATAATTTGATAGAGTTAAGGTCGATTTCGGTTTAGTAAGAAATTAGTATCTAACGTATATGAATAGTATTTTTAGAATTTCGATTTGAATTAGAATTTATAATATTAGTTCGAGCACTAATATATGTTTGAAATTATATATGTAGGGAAACCGATTAACGTATAGATCATGACCTAAAGCAAGCTCAAAGTGAAGTAAGAAGAAAAGAATAAAGCCCGAGAGTGAAGTGATCGCAGTATTAAAACTAGTGAGGCATCAGGTGAGTGCAACTAATTTTTTATAAAATAATACAAGGAAGACTTGCGATGAGTCAATCTCTACAGATTTGAAATGAAAAGATTTTCAAATAATATTTTGAATAGATATTTTTTATCATTTTATTTATTTCATCGTCAATGATTATTTTGGGTATTAACTGCCTAATATTGATTTTATGAGATTTTATTTATATTCAATCATATGGATGTTTTATATGGAAAACACAATATATTATTTTGATATAAGCTCAATGTGTATGGATTGAGAGTTTGAGGTACAAATGGCATGCCATAAGTTGGAGTGATTACATTATACATGTTTATATTGCATCTATGGTGCAAATCTACGAGGCATTTTGAGTGCATGTAGTGCCCACACTCGACGATACTAACGTACCTAATATTCGTCAAAATACATTGGGATATGAATTAAATACAAGAAAGATACAAATTTATATGACTAGAGCCTGAAAAACACAAGTTATAAGAATTGAAAAATAATAATTTGTTTACCAATTGCATAAATTGACTCAATATGTTTTATACGTGAAATAGCTTTGAAATTTTTTATGTTATAAAACTTTGTTATTTTTAATAATTTTATATATTGTGACTTTATAAGATAATTTAGTTACTATTTGGTTTTATTAGAATTTGCCTAATGCATCACTAGGTGAAAACTTAATGTATGACTGGTTCACACGTAGGTATCAAGCAAGCGATTCAGGTAGAATGCGTACCAACGTCATTTTGGGAAAATCAAGTCCGATACCAAAATCAGTAAGAACATCATGTTTTGTTGTATTTGTAATTAATGACATGTATATTAATGAAGTTTTAGCTGCTCTAATATTTATATTAGTTATATAAATGTTTATAACATAATATCTAAAATTGTTTTAAAATATAAAATATTAAGTACTATAAATAATATATATGAATAGTACATATTAAATTATGTTTTTAAATATTACGTTATGGTTTTATGTGATTACTAGTTTTAAAAATAAAGAAATGCATTTAAAGATTTTAAAAAAAAAAAATTATTGGTTTTCAAAAAGAAAGTGTTTTATACGATTGGTGTGACATCTTTAACTCATATGCGGATACATAGATGAGTTAAGGGTGTTATAGTTCTAGCATATCTTCCTCCTTTGTTGTCTTCAAGGCGAACATTGCTTTGTCTTCTTTTATCTTTCATTTGCTTATTATATCGTTTGCATCATTTACTTATTGTTTATCCACTTCATTTCCATTAACAATCTCCCACGAGTCTTGTCCTTGAATATATGACATCATGCAAGTTGACCATGTATCGTAGTTTTCGTTGTTAAGTTTTCTCATTCCTCCGACGGCATGTAAGTCAGTCATATTATTGATAAAAGATTCTCACAAAACTATATGAAATAGTGGAATTAGTTTGTGAACCATACACTAGGTAAGTTCCCAAGAAAAAGAGGTGGATCATACGGATCACTTAAATATCAAGTCTTTCTTAGTATTTTCTTTTGACATGCAGTACACATCACTACTTTTAACAACAACCGAACAACTCGAACAATCTTTACCAAAGCTCTTGAAACAAATTGTTAAAAACCAACAAAGGTTCAAAATATTAGGAGGAAGAAAAAATGAATCAAATGGAAGAGAATACTTAATTTTGTTGTGTGATTTGAAAGCTACCACAAAGCTTTCTTTATATATATGCAAAGAATACCTTCACAACGTAAATAACAATTAAAGTTAAAATAAAACTTACTATAATATTTATGAAACTAAAACATAAACTCAATTAAATATCAATACTTTGGTGTTAATATTTCAACCTTCTATTCTTATATGTACCATATAATGCCAACTTCGATGCTACATTAATCTATAATACCATATAATGTTACGAAGAGCAAATCATAATGAACTTTATGAACAAAAAAACGAGAATCAAATTATTTTAAAATGGGAAATAACGTTTGGATGCATCATACGCACTTAACCTAGAACATCATTTGGTGGTCAATGAATCGAATCCGCACTTCCCATCAAAAAAAATTAAATACAAGACAATGCATTATTTTCATATACATCCACATATAACATATTTGTTTCTTTTGTTTTTCTCTGATTCTATCATCAAAGTAAAAGAATTACGGCAGCACTGTTCATTAATGGATAAGGGAGCCTACTTTAAGTGATGGTCAATGCCTTGTGCTTATACACCTCTTGTACTATTATTAGAATCCGAATTCGAAAAATGATTACAGATTTTAATTCGAACTTTAAACTTACTTCGGGTTACGAGCATTTTCTTGCCTATAAGAAGGGACATTTCTCATTCACGAAGCTGGCAAGCCAAAGAGCAAAGAAGAGGAGAGAGAAAGATAATAGAGGGGAACGATGGGAGGTCAATCTCTATGTTCAGCTCTGTGTAATGTGTTGAACAAAGTGAAACCATACCTTGCATTGGTCTCCCTGCAGTTTGGATATGCAGGGATGTATATAGTCTCCATGGTTTGTTTGAAGCATGGCATGAGCAATTTCATCCTCGCCACGTATCGACATGTCGTCGCCACCATTGTCATTGCACCATTTGCCTTTGTTCTCGAAAGGTTCATCCTTTTCCACCCTCTTCCTCTCCTTTACACATTTAAATTGCAGTTGCAATCGACTTTTTGGCAGCGATTGAACTCCATTCTTCGTACTCTTATTGCAGGAAAACAAGGCCAAAGATGACCCTCCCTATCTTCCTTAGGATTGTTGCTCTTGGTTTCCTTGAGTAATGCTCTAAACACCCTTCCATTTTCATCTTTATGCAAATAAATTCATAATCGCATGCATACACATGTAAATATGTATTTTCTGGATGTTGAAGGCCAGTGCTTGACCAAAACTTATATTATCTGGGAATGAAGTTAACAACAGCAACATATACATCAGCTTTTGTGAACATACTTCCTGCTGTCACCTTCGTATTGGCAATTATTTTCAGGTGAGTTAAGACCATGCCATTGCTCATCAAGATCAAGGGAATTTACCCGTCTTTAATAATACGATAACTATGTCCAATTCAGGTTAGAGAAGGTGAATGTGAAGAAGATAAGAAGTGTAGCAAAGATCATTGGAACACTAATCACAATCATAGGAGCAATGGTGATGACTTTATACAAAGGTCCCATTATTAACTTCATCAAGTCAGGGGGAGCCATCCACCATGGAACTGCCGCCGAATCTGCAGATAAACACTGGGTTTCTGGCACAATATTTCTTATTGGAAGCATCTGCAGCTGGGCAGGCTTCTTTATTTTGCAAGTGAGTCCGAAACTTGCAAAAAGCAGAAGATTGAAACTACATGTATACGTTTGATCTAACATTTTGTTATGGTTTGGGGTTCAGTCCTTCACATTGAAGAAGTACCCAGCAGAGCTGTCTCTTACAGCACTGATATGTTTCGTGGGGATGATTGAAGATGCAGGACTGTCACTCATCATGGTTCACGATCTAAATGCGTGGAAAATCGGTTGGGACTCAAGGCTTCTCGCTGCATCATACTCTGTAAGTGCTACATGACAGCCCATTTTGTTTGCAGGAATGATCATGCACAATAAACACAAGTATTTCAGCAGTTTTAATATCGAATTCGTGATCGATCAGGGGATATTTTGCTCCGGCATTGCGTATTACGTGCAAGGAGTAGTGATCAGGCAACGAGGGCCGGTTTTCGTAACATCATTCAGCCCTCTGTGTATGATCATCACTGCAATACTAGGGGCCATTATTTTAGCAGAAAAAATCCACCTTGGAAGGTATGGTGCAGAGTGCAAACAATTAAGAAACCTTGTTCATTCTCTCCATTATTTGTTTCTCATTCCATCTTCTTTATATTATATATATGATTTCAGCATTTTTGGAGCGATTATCATAGTAACAGGCCTTTACATGGTTGTGTGGGGCAAAAGCAAAGATGGGAAAGAATCTGAAACAAATGAGAAAAGCAATGGCCTGCAAGAATTGCCCATCACAGGAAATGTTAGATCAATCAGCGTTGAAGATGAGATGAATGGAATTGCCAAAATTGTAACTATTCCAGCTTCAAAGAACCCCTTCACCACTCGAGGAACGTAAAAAAGAATTGTTGCCTTCCAAATGTTCGATTAAACCTCTAGCAGAGTGGTTGTTCGCCCCAACCATAGAAGATCATTATGTAACTAGCCATTCCTCTTCTAGGCTGCTCTGAATTTAAAGTAATTATCTTTTGATGATACTCTTCTCTCATCGTTTGTTCGTAATAAAATCTGTTTCTTCGTTAACTCGTCTATCTATTTTATCGTCTATTCATTTGAATCAAATATCAATAACAACTTGACCCTTCTCATAACTTCATTCGATCCCTCAACTACAAAAAAAATCCATTTTAATCCATTCTAATTTCGGTTTGAAAAGGTTAACATTTTGATTTAAAACGTTAAAATTATTGGTAGTTGGCTTTAATATTTTAGTTTAAACACCATTTACGTCCTTATCAAATTTGAAATTGAACAAAGTAATCTCTCTTTAAAAAAAAAGAGTAATTTTAATATTTTAAAATTGGAAAAATAGAATGATCGATGATGTGACTTTTATTATTAGTACATGAAATAAGTCCTATCACAGTTAGACACGTGTCATGTGCTAACAGAAAAGGTTACCATTATCATATATCTTTCTTATTTGTTTACGTGTGGAATAAATATATACTAAATATTATATTGTGACACGTTGATATACACCACTAATTAAATTATTTTTATTAAATAAATATAAAATAATATAATGATCTATCCATAATTATTTATTTATTATTATTTAGTTTAAATTTTAATAGTTATATAATTAAATTATATATTTTATTAAAGATTATATTTAATTTATAAATTTTTATTTATTTAAGATTGAAACACTTAATTTATATAAGTTACATATTCATTCTAACAACCATCAAAACCAATCATCGATGATCTTATTCATCGTCAGAAAATCATTATAAAATATATAAATCATTATAAAATATATAAGTTAGGAGCGTAGTCTAGCTTCATTGGTTTACTCTTGTTACTAAAAGAATGTATAAATTATTATAAAATATATTATTTTAACATTTAAAATATAAAAATTGATTATAAATATATTGTTATAAAATATATTATTTTAAAATATTAATATTTTCGGATTGGATCGGATCGAAGTCGGAGTTTTGATCTAAAAATCGGAACAGATTCATGTGAGAGAAAGACTAGCAATCTTTGGACGGATCGAGGTAGAATGAAAATAATATATTTTCGGGTACGAGTCGTAACTGTCAAAAAATTGATCCATCTCGTCCCATGCCTATCCCTACCAAACATCACCGACCTCGCTGATGCCTTGCAACACTTTGGCATTCCCAACTTCTTTTAATGACAACAATGATCTTAAATATAAATAAATATAAAATATATTAATTTCATACATAAATTCAACCTAAATTAGCACTAAAACATAGGCAAGTTTCAATGAAGTGGTCAAAGCAGATTCTGAAAGGCTTGAACTATTTGCATTCACATGAGCCTTGTATCATTCACAGTGATCTTAATTGCAGCAATATTTTTGTTAATGGATATGGGACACCAAGATTGATGATTAAACCTTCAACATGTTAAGATCGGTGATTTGGGGTTGACTTCGACAGTGAGAAAAAAATCATTCAGCGCATTCGATTATCGGGACACCATGATCATTGCTGCCGTTAAAGAAATTGGGAATGTCAAGGTATTGATGGTCATTGTTGGAATGAATATGCAACTTATATAAATCAAGTGTTCAATATTAAATAAATAAAAAGTTCTTAAAACAATTATATTTTTTTAATAAAAATATAATTTAATTATATTCTTATTAAAATTTAAACTAAATAATATTAAAGGATTAATTGTGAGTAGAGCATTATATTTTTTTCATATTTATTTAATAAGGACAATTTAATTAATAGTGTGCATCGGTGTGTCACATTAGTATTGTGTTTCGGTATACGACGTGCATTCTAGAATTTCCCTTGTCATAGACCTAGGAAGTGTTTAAATTGAAATATAAAAAATAATTAATAATAACTTTAATATTTTAAATCAAAATATTAATTTTTGTAAAAGTAAAAAATTAAAATAATTTTTTTATAGTAAAGGGACCATAATATATTTTGGCAACTTTATTTATTTATTTTTTTTTTACGTTGCAACACCCTTTCAGTTTTTGTGAAATGATATTTTTCAAACTACATAGTGATTTGGATTTTTTTTCATAATTTTTCTTTAAATTCATTTCTTTTCATGGAAAGTAACGGAGCAAGTGAAGGGTTGAATTAAAACCCGAATTAGTTTATCAAACTTTGTGGTTCTCATGAGTTAAAATTATCAACTTTTATAGATATTTGCGCATGAAATATTAGGTAAAAGTGTTGGGGATAATGATATGGGAAAAATAATTCTTATTTAATGTTAAGATGAAATGAATAACGCAGGGAGAGTCGATTGAATTTTTCGATGACTTCATGAAGACGTTGGGACAACAAGGTGTCATTTTAATGTTCAATGCATGCCTCCCGCTGCTCTGCATAATCCGAACGTACAAGCACCATGTAGAAGATACCTTACAGTCTCAAATCTTTATGAAGTCGACCGATTTTCCCCGGTACTGTTCTTATCGTCCTACTTGAAAATCAGGGTTATTATCATTATAGTCGCCGAGAAGCCATGAAGAGGGAAATGTTCTTATCGTTCTATGAAGCAAGATTAGCAGAAAAGCATGGCTTCTTCGATTGAAGAAAGCAATTCTCTTTTCTGGGTTATTATCATTATATTCACACTGTTGTCGTTCAAGCAAAGTAAAGGATACAAAAGTTTTTGTGCAAAGGGATTTTGTTTCCTCAAGATTTTTATCCCTTTGTTATGTAAATTTTAAAATTATTAATTAAGTAACGTAATTAATTGATAATATTTTATTCTTAAACAGGGGCGGACATATGTGGCCCACGAGATAACAGTTGCATACCCATTTTCCTTAAAAAAAATACAAACACTTAATGTACTATATTAAAACTTAAAAAATTTTATCACCCTTTTTATTTATTTTTTGATTTTTATGCACATTTGTTGTTGTTGAAATTTGTGCTCTTTTCTGCACACTTTGTTTTGTAGTTGAAATTTATGCTGTGAAGCTGTCAATCTATTCTATATTTTCAATTAAAAAACTAATTAAAATAATATATATCATTTAAAAACCTTTCATTTCAGCTATTATTAATACTAAAATCTCTGTTTTGCATTCAAACTCACAGACTCCGACCCCACTGCTACTCAATTCTCATTTCTCAATCTTTTGTTTGTGCCTAAACCACCCGCCACGACGCCGTTCACCGGTGATTTTCCGGTGAACTTCCTTAATTAAGTCGTCGGTAAGTTGTTGGTCATTTATTTTGGACTCCCATTTTTTAATTCCTGAATCCGCCACTGTTCTTAAATATAATTATATAAAAACAGTTGTGACAAGAAAATAGTAATAAAAAATTTTAAACATTAAACTCTTATAGTATGGGCTGTATATATCGGAATAGATTAACATTGACCAAAACATATTAAAATTTTAACCTAGTTTTGATCAAGTAAAATCGCGTTTTTTTGTTATCTTGTTGATTTTCCTTATTTTGGATCCTTGTATTGGATTTGGATACGTCGTTTGCATTTGTGGTAGTTTTCTCATATCGCTAGACTTTGATTTGTGGTTTGTCGACGTCTTTCAATAGTTTGATCCATTTTTATGGTTCAATTACTGATGCAATTAGATCTTTTTATATCTATGTTTTGTTCGTGCCTTTTAATTGGGTTTAAATAGTTTCCTTGTATAGTATTTATATGATCTCAAATGACTAATTTTTTGTGTCAATTAGTTATAAAAAAATATCATAATTATTCATTTAATTTACATTTACGATTATAAACATTTATTGTAATTCTAGATATTTCTTCTTTCTTATAAAATTTAGCGTCTTCTATAGGAAAAAAAACTATGGTATAAAGGTGATTCCTCTTATTTCATTATCAACGGTTCAAATATAAAATACAATAGATAAATCACATTGTCACATAGAAAGCGTAGAATGTAATTACTGAAAATCAATTTTCATTACCAGAACTCTGATGCCTGCGATGTCCCCGATCTCCGGGAGAAGCCTCGGGTTCGGAGGAATTACCATTTCTAGATTCCTCATCACTGCTAACTGACAACTCTTGGCGACAAACAGGGCAAGAATTGTGAAGCCTTAACCAAGGAACAATGCAGTCGTTGTGGTATATATGTTTACAAGGCAGCTCCTTTGCTTCACCCCCGACAACGAATTCCTCCTTACAAACCAGACATTCCGAATTGTTCCTCAGATGTATTTCGGTGATCTTCACAGCTGGAATCGCATCGATTGTTGACTCCGGAGCTCGAGGTACTCCACGACGATCATTTTGTGTTATCTGATCAATCAAATTGTCCACTCCTGGTCCGAAAAAGTTTCTCGGATCAAGACTAGGGTGTGCAGGGTTTGCACGTTGCAAACTTGATTCAGCTGTGCCTGGACTTGGAGGACCAACATGCCTAGTGACAATCCAAGTCCTAGGACGATGTACAGCTTCAGGTTCTTGTTCTCGGTTTTCATTTCCATCATAACTACGGCTCCTACGCCTTCGAAGATGCTCAGGGGGGTTGTTTACGGATTCAGCATCCAGTAAATTGTTTCGGCGCCCAAGCAAAGGCCAACCTAAATTTCGGCGCCCAAGCAAAGGCCAGCCTAAAGGCTCTTGATTAACAAAACGACCATGATTGAATATCCGAATTGGAGGATCCATGATAAGAGAGAGTGCTTCGAACAGACGAGCTTCATGGGAAGGACCGAAAGCGGTGAAATCAACAACCATTCTAGGCCTGCTGATTTCCATCTCGCAAACAAACTGCCCGAAACATCGAGGGCATACGATCTCCGAAGGATTTGTTGAGGCAATCCTGACAGGTTGATGACACTGGTAGCACCAGTAAAGCTTGTAATGCCTCCCTGGGGCCAAACCATAGGTGCCATGGACCCTTGCCCTACGTCGGTCTTGAGACATATTCTCCGTCTGGTTTTTTTTTTTATTTTTTCTGTAAATATTAAATTTTCTCAAGAAATCATCATATTAGAAGACAAGATAAAGGTATCTACGAACCAAGATTAGCAGAAAAGCATGACCTTCTTTGGTAGAATAAAGCAATTCTCTTTTGTTGGTAATGTTATATATATGTTCACTGTTACCGTCCATGCAAAGTAAAGGATGAGAAAGTTTTTGTGCAAAGGGATTTTGTTTTCTGAAAAATGACATCATAATTTTGGCATTCGATCGATCAAGAATTCAAGATATAACTGTTGCCGAAGGTATATCACTCGAACTTCAATTCAGTACAAGTAATTAAGCACAAACTACTGCATATTCATCCATGAATAGTCACTCGGTTAACACCTACATTGAATTCTATTACTCAGTTTAAAGTTATAGATTTGGTTTGAGTCATTGCTCAACCTAAATCCAGATTGATTTTGGAGGATAACAACTTATCTCGGAGTGAAAAACGGAAATCTATGTTCTAGTGACATACCTTAGCCGGAAAATCTAATTCCGAGTGTTTTAATCACTTTTTCTTCAGCTTCTCCTTCATCCTCTCAACCGCGGACCTCAAAGTTTTTTCATCCTTGCAGAAGGTAAATCTCACCAAATTCTTACCATCTTCCGGGTTCAAATAAAATACACTAGTTGGAATTGCCACGACTCCGACTTCCTTGATCAGATACTCACAGAACGCAATATCAGTCTCCAAACCGAAAGGGGTGTGATCTACAACAACAAAGTATGTTCCGCTCGATGGGAACACCTTAAACCCAACATCTTTCAAGCCCTGTACCAGAATTGCCTTCTTTGCCATATAATCTCTCTTTAATTCCTCAAAGTAGGAATCAGGGGCACAGAGTGCGACTGTAGCTGCCCACTGCATTGGAGTGGAAGTGGCAAAAGTAAGGAATGAGTGTGCTTGCCGCACTCCCCAAGTCAAGTGTGGAGGAGCTATTGTCCACCCAATTTTCCACCCTGTTAGGGAGAATGTCTTCCCCAAGGAGTTCATTGTCACTGTTCGCTCGTACATTCCAGGAAGTGATGCCATAGAAATGTGATCCATTTCGAAAGCTAATTTATCATAAACTTCGTCCGTAAAAACTAAGACATCATTCTCAATGCACAATGATGCAATGGTATTGAGCTCCTCACGAGTAAACATCTTCCCAGTTGGATTATGTGGAGTGTTTATAAGAATGGCACGAGTGTTCTTTGAGATAGCAGACTTAAGCTCATCTATAGGAACAGCAAAATCCGGAGGGCGCAACGTGATGCATTTTATTTTGGCACCAGCCATAGATAACGTCGCTTCGTAAGAATCATAAAATGGAGCAAAGAGGATCACCTCATCACCTGGATTAATCAAGCCTAACATGGTTGCAGCAATAGCTTCAGTGCACCCAGAGGTAACTGTAACTTCCTTCTCAGGGTTAATCACAAGTCCAGTATCCTTCTTGAAGCGGGCAGCTATGGCATTGTTGAAGTCTGGAACTCCATATCCTCGAGCATATTGGTTTTTCCCATCTTTAATGGCTTGAATTGCCGCTTCTTTTACAAAATCTGGACCATCAAAGTTGGGGAACCCTTGGCCGAGGTTTATTGCTCCATGCTTGATTGCAAGCATACTCATCTGAGTAAAAATTGTAGTTTTGAACTTCTCCAGTCGCTTTGCAACCTGAGAAAACATACTATGTTTAGACACACACGCGCACGCACACACATCCATACATACATCTGGGATACAAAGTGAGGACCACTGCTTTATATTATAAATTGCATAACCAAAGAATATAACATTGCTTGAGCAGATCAATAAGTGGAGAACCATAAGGAGCCATATGCATAAAACTACACTCACTCAACCTCAAAAGAATCTGGAATCCCTAAATCAAATGATGATAGATTGAAGCCAGGAAACAGTTGCATTCCCTATGTTTTACCATATTAGGGTCTGACTTATCACTATTGTTGGTGGGAAAACATGAGCTAAAATAGTTCGGGTCGGAAAAAGTTTTCAAAAAATATGACAAAATATATGTTTAAGAACATTTAAACATTAACCTAAGTTTAAAATTAAAAAAAAAAAAGTTTCAAGACATGACTCATATGAGAGAAAAATAAAGTCATCTTATGCAAAACCAGTTCTGAGAACCCAAAGACTCCATTTTTGGGGTTTTCTATTTGAATTGCTAGACCATGATTTTAATCAGAAAAGCCAAATTTTTCTATCCATTTAGTATCGCACTAGCGGTGAAACGTAGCTTTCAAATCAAATATTTGTGCCATCTGCAGTGCCAAATGGGACTTAATAGGTGTGTGCATCACAAATTAAAACTTCCATAGATTCAAGATGCTAAGTCTAACAAAAACCATTGCAACAACAATCTCATTTTCTACTAAATTTCAGAACTTAAATCTTTACAATCGGCATTTCCATGTGAGATTGCAAGAACAGCATAATATAGTTCTTCAATTTGTTATACCACTAACCATTTCCTGGAAACCATGAGACATAATCTCATATAATTTAATCAATTAGCAAAGTTTAGAAGATCCAAAGCAAGAAATTTAGATACTCTCTACAAGAACTTCATCATAAAAAATATCAACAAACAACATGACAAACCAGTAGAGAAAAAACAAAATCTCACAAAAATAAAAATAAAAAACAAACTAGGGGCCAAATTAAGATCAACTGAACAAATCACATCACACAAAAAATCAAATTAACAAAGAAATGGGTCACCTGAACTGGTGGCTGGGTGATTTGAGGAGTCCCATCGGGAGTAGAAACAGGGTCTTTCTGGTTGGAAACGGAAGACATGGTGGCTATGAACGATGGGTAATTGTTGATTCTCCTGTTAGATCTGAAGAAAGGAGAATCAGAAGAAGCCTTTTGAAAATGTTTTGAGAAATTAGAGAATAGTGTTGTTGATGTTGGGGATTTGAAGCAAAGTGGTCTAGGCATCTCGAACTGTGACCAGGTACATTCAGCAGCCTGCATCAAAGATTAGGTGGCGAAATCATGAGACATGAAAAAAAAATAAGAAAAATGCAGATAACATTATTGTGGACTATATGATTAGGACATATATGAAAAATAATATAGAAAAAATATTTTTACTGAAATATCATTCTTAAAAAATTTATTTATAAAAATAACTTTTATTTTAAATTATTTATAAATCTAAGGCTTAATGTAAAAAAATTGCCCAAATTATATTTTTTTTCTCAAAGTAGTGTCTAATTTTTTCGATCAATCTAGATGTCTAATTTTACAAACGTTACCACCTTAAATGTCTAGTCTGTAACGGATATTAAATTCCACCATTAAATAAGACATATCACATTGATAATTTTGAATTTTTTAAAAAAATCAAAATTATATTTTTTAAAGAAAAAACCAAACTTTGAAAAACCCAAAATTTAATTCCTATACCTACGTTGGCTGCCACTATTACTATCGACCGAACCTTCACCCAATCGTGACTCTACCCAACGACCATTTTTTCAACGAAGAGCCACCACAACCAAAGTCGACAGGAGCTGAATCGAGTTCGTCATTTCGTCGGATTTACCATTGATTTCATCGTTGGAGTGTGTTTTTTCGGATGGTTGTTCAAGGGTAAATGACCATCGAGTGGAGGCACATTCAGGTGTAGGCTCGGCTGACGGTAACGACGACCAAAGTGGTGGACGACGTGGGTATAGGATTGGAATTAGAGCTTTCAAAGTTTGAGTTTTTTTAACATCTCTGAAAATTTTGGGATTTTTTTAATAAAAAAATATTTTCCATTTAAAAAAATCAAATTACCAAAATCAATTAATCTAACATGATGTCATTAAATTTTTTAAACAAAAACTTGGTTTGTTTAAAAATTCCGATGGCGTTTATATGAGGATTGTTCAATCTTGGAATAATCTTCGTTTTCTCTGGACTAGTTTAGCATTTGAACTCGACTGAGTTTTCTCTTTGCACGGCTATTAAATAACCGGAATGGAGATTTTTCCAAGCCTAGTGTGGCCTTCAGGGGCTGGCTGCTGGCAAGGGACATGGCCACCTGGTTTGGTAAAGATATTCTTTTGGTCCCTAAAAATGTAAAACGTTTAGATGATAAAATGGTAAAATTATCCTTTGGCCCCCTAGTTTGGGAAAAATGTTCTTTTGACGCCAAACTTGTCAAGTTTTTAGTTAATAAAATGGAAAAATATATGTTTGCTCTCCTAAAGGGTTACACTTTAATCTCAGCTCCCAGTAAAAGTTTCCTGGTTTCACCCCTGTTGTCCTTGCCGTAGGGTTCTATAATTTTATGTTAGCTAGATTTTTCTATGTTTCTCCATGTTTTTGAAGGATTCTTGGAGGTTCTATCGTTGTATCCTAATGTTGGCTACGAATGGGTACTTCATGGAAAATGAAAAGTCCAAGCAACATACTCAGAATTGTGGTACAATATGGTGAAAAGGCCATTTCCTGTTAAAACAGTTTGAAATAGAATTTTGGAATTGAAATCCATTTGACATTATGGTTGCCGTGCGCACTTAATTTAAGGATAAAAATGATGACTTTAGGACATAATCGAAAATATGATAAAAATTACTATATTTTAGGTAGTGCAACCTAAAATGTTATATTTTTATTAATATTTTATGTTGAACCTAAAATGTTACGAAGAATGTAACATTTTCGGTATTTTCGGTTGACAATCGAAAATGTTATGAAAAATGTAACATCTTTTTTTCAACCGAAAATATTATGAAAAATGTAACATTTTTTGTTCAACCGAAAATATTAGTAAAAATGTAACATTGTAAGTTGCGCTCAACTTGAAATATTATGATTTTTATCACATTTTCAATTGTGTCCCAAAATCACTGTTTTTAGGTCTAAATTAAGTTGTCACTTCTTAGGCTTCCCTAGATATTAACTGAATCACAACGCTAAAACCTTTATAAACCCTTTTATTTTATATTCAGACTACCGCTTTTTTTTTTTGATCAATTTAAGATGAATACAAGTGGTAGTATTTGTTCTAAAGACTTTTAATATTTGACAATAACGTTTAAATATATAATTATATATTTGATTCTTATTATTTATATATTTGTATCAATTAAATAATAAATTAATAATATAAAATAACGAAGATTAAATATATAATTATATGAATTTATTTAATTGTTAATAATAGTGATTTGATTGGTTAAATGATTTATTCGATAAAATATTTAATTTAATTATCAAAATAGAACCATCTTTATAATTTAGTGATTATATATATATATATTATTAATTTAAGGTAAGTATAAAATAATATATATAACTCTCAATTATTTGACATTAAACGCTCACATCCCTTATATTTTTGTTGCTCGAACACGAGATATCCAAAAATAACAACAATTCATTTACCACCAATATTGTTAGGTTTATATAATGATTATATATAGTTTATTCTTATAATTATAATTATCTATTATAAAATATGATGGATTTAGCGTTATAAAGATCTAATTGTCAACAAAAAATATATGGTTTTATATATTATAATCATATTTATTAAATTATATAATCTTTAAATTTTAATAACTTTTTCAATTTTCAAATATTACTAAAACAATTATGTATAACGTGGAAAATTCTACAACGTATGTCGTACAACGCAGCGTACCACTAAAGTGTTGTATCGAAATACACTACAAACAAATTTGTTCTTATTATATAAATATTAAAAGTACAGTGTTTTATTTCAAATTAATCATTTATTAGGATTTAATTTTAATTTTAATAGAATTATAATTAAATTATAATTTTTTATTAAAAATAATAATTAATTTAAGTAATTTAATTTATTTTAGAATTAATTTTTTTAAGTTATACAAGTTTAGTGATTAACCGATCATCACCATCAATTACCATTGACGTTGTCTCACCAGAAAATGATTTGCTACAACATCCAGCGTTGTCGAAGACTTAAATCAAGAGGACACGCGACGATTGGGGACAAATGAGAATCGATTGTCGTGGTCGGTCTGGTTGGGATAGGTGACAATTGGGGATGGTTCTCCGAAGGTCAACGCGCGTTAAAAATAAGGAAAAACGAACGGACGGCGTCCAATAAAAACATCAAAGTTTTTCCTTCGGGATGACATGCTACTGGACGACGATGAATTAGATGAGGTTTGGTGACGAGCAAGACTGGTTTCCTTTTGATTTAAGTCTCTGGCAGTGTTGGATATGATAGTAATTCGTTTTCCGGCGAAGCAAAGTTGTCATCGGCGGTGACTGATGGTGATGGTCGATTAATCACTAAACTTATATAACTTAAAATTTTTAATTATAAAACAAATTAAATTACTTAAATTAATTATTATTTTTAATAAAAAAATATCATAATTTAATTATAATTATATGAAAATTAAAATTAAATTTTAATAAATGATTAACTTAAATAAAACACTACACTTTTTAATATTTACATAATAAGGATAAATTTACTTGTGGTGTGTTTTGATATGTCGCTTTAATTGTGTGTTGAGGTGTCTGTGCGATATAGACTCATCTTATGTAATGTTATTTTACACTTATCTTACATATAGATAATTTTATTTATTTAAAATATAAAGTTAGATTATTATTTTTTTGATAAATAGATTTATTTATTACGTTAAGAAAAAAATGATTACATTAAACAAAAAATCCAAAAATAGAAAGAAAATGAAAACTTAGCAGATTTTGAGGTTAAATGGTGGAATTAAAAAGTGAAAAAAAAACACAAATGAAAAAGGAGAGAAATGGAAATTGGAATCTGAATAAACTTGCAACAATGGATTTAGGAAAAGAATCGAAGCAGCCTTATGTGGCAAAAGCCTTCAAACAATGGTTTATTAAATGCCTTTCAATTTTAACTCTCTTCACGTATTCCTCACTTTAAATCTCTGCATCAAATCACTCAGTTCCATAATTAATTCTCAGAGAAATTAAAAAAAAAAAAGTAGCAGATATGAATCATTTGCTTTCAACTCTTTTGTTTTTACTGCTAATGCTCTCATCAGGTAAAAACCCGTATTCAGTTTGGTTCATGCAATCATCGGTTTGCAATTAATTTCTTTCTTTCTTTGATTTTTTAGGCCCGAAAATGTATGAATGTGCAAGAGTCTTCACCATAATCAACTACTGCAAGGAAACGATCTGGCCGGGAATCACCCCCGGCGACAACTTCAACGGCGGCGGCTTCGAATTAAAATCAGGCCAATCCATTGTTTTCCAAGCCCCGGTCGGGTGGAGCGGTCGAATATGGGGTCGAACCGGTTGCAAGTTCGACAAGAACGGTGACGGTTCCTGCCAAACCGCCGACTGCGGCAACACCCTTAAATGCAAAGCGTCGGGAAAAACACCGGCATCGCTCGCGGAGTTCACGCTTTCCACCGTCGATTATTATGACGTTAGCCTCGTCGACGGGTTCAATCTCCCGATATCGATCAAACCGATCAATGGCCAAGGGAACTGCAGCACTTGCGGTTGCGATTCGGACCTGCGGGAAAGCTGTCCGAACGAGCTAGCGGTGAAGGGCGGCGGAAATGGGAAGGCTATCGGTTGCCGGAGTGCATGCGACGTGTTCAACACGGATCAATATTGCTGCCGAGGGACGTATGGGAACCCTGTGACGTGTCAACCTACGTTCTACTCGAAGAAGTTTAAGGAAGCTTGTCCCACTGCTTATAGTTATGCGTATGACGATCCCACTAGTATTTTCACCTGTGCCGGAACTGATTATGTTGTCTCCTTCTGCTCGGCCAGGTTGGTATGGTTTTTTCTCCTTCTGCTTGGCCAGGTTGGTTTGGTTTTTTTTATTTTTTATATAATATTAAAAAATATAACATTCTATTAAATAGTCATTTTGACATATATTTTTTTAGAATATTTTGATTTATGATATTAGATTTTAAAATAAAAAATTCAACATTCGATTAAATAGTCACTTTAACCCTTATGTTAGGGATGGATGCACATGTAGGTGGAAGGAGCAATTATCCGTCCCATCTTTGATGGTTTAATTATATTTTAGGTTACTAATAGTTTAAAATCATTATAAATAAGTATTTGTCCCTCTCGAAACTTTTTGGTATAACTATTTTTAGGATATTAACAGTTTTAAAAGTAATAAAATTAAGTCTTTACCCCAAATTTATGTGGTTTAGTTCTTTCTTAAGACCTTTAAGTTTTAAATTTAGTGAAACTAAACTCTTCGTCTCTTCATTTTTATAGTTTAATTATTTTTAGGATCCTATTTATTTTAAAGTTAAATAAATTGTCACCCTCATGATTCAATTCTCCTCCGTCCCTACCTTATCATTTATTTTTGGAATATTTTGACTTCTATCAGTTTATTTTAGGTAAAAAAATCCTTATTTTAGAGTGTTGATTAAAGTTTTTCATATGTTTTTTTGTCTCAAAATGAAATATTAGAATTTAAATATTTCAAAATGAAAAAAATAGAGACTAAAATAACTATTTAATCAAACGTCAAGAACATTTTTATTATTATTTCTTCTTTACTTTCATGCAACTAATATATATATATAGCATCTAATAATCCATAATTATGAATAAAATCCCAAATTTGATGTTGATTTGCAGGAATCAAACGGTCTGTTCATACCATGACCGCAAGCTTATTTGCAGCAACAATGCAAATGGTTTACATCCATTGATGGGAAGTTGGTGGTTTGCAATGCCTGCACTGCTATTTATTGCTAATCTATGGAATTAAGCAAAAAATATTTGGTTTGGAACTATACTCTTTCTAATCATTCATTCTTTCCTTCTTTGATTATCTTTTTGGATACTCTTTTCTAAAAAATATTTATCGCACTAATCAAATTTTAAACTTCCGTTTATGTTGTGTAAAAATGTCATTATCACCATAATATTCATAAAAAAAGAAGAAGCCAAAAACCATTTATTCTCAATTAAATATCAAATTGATTAATTTGGTGTAGTAATTCAATTTTTTCGAGTCGAGTTGATTCGGAATGTTCAATTTTTTGTTTAAATTTAATTGTAAATATTTATGATATTATAGTACTATTTTATTTCAATTTAACGATTTTATATAACAATATACATATATGTTTCTTTATATTTTTTATATGTGATATGTACATATCATTCAGAATTGAGAGACTCGACTCAAACTTAAAAATTATTTTATTAATTATTAAAAATTTTAAGTTATTCGAATTATATTTTATAACTTAACTCAAATTTAATTTTTTTTAAGTTAAATCAATTTTATAAAATTAGGAGTCATATCGAATTAAGTCAAAAATATAATTTTTCAAATCAAATCAATTTTTGATTACCTAGCTTTAGCTTTTACGGTAAAATTAAGACACGTTTGCATCCCATGAAGTCACAAATTATTCTCTTATTTTGTGAATTTAAGAATTAATTTAAAATAAAATTATAATTTAAAGATGTTGAATATAATTAATTATAAAATATTCAGGGTGAAATAAAAAATAATAATAAAATTGGTTGAAAATATTTTGATGTTTCGATATAACAAATAAATTGTTAATGAATTTTAAGATTTTATCTTCAATTTTAAAATATATATTCGATTAAATTATTTGAATATAAAAAATATTACTCCAAGTTTTTAAATGTCAATTTTACTCCTTACTTAAGTGTAAAATTGTGTTTCAATCTTAAAATATTTTTGAAACAATTTTTACAAAGTATTTCGAACCTTAATCGAGCCAAAAATGAATTTTAAGTAAGGGTGTACCGATTCACTCTTCAGATGTACCGATACCCCTGAATTTCGAATGTAATAAGGGTACCGATACACAACAGAATGTACTGATACCCCTCATGTCATAATTGGCTCCGAGAAATATCGAATGCAATTAGTGTACCGATACCACTGGGAGGTACCGATACCACTGGGAGGTACCAATACACTTGGTCAAATAACGGTCGAAATATTTGAATTTTACACTGGGTGCACCAATGCCCTTTGAAGGTGTATTGATAACCCTAGGCTCCCAATAGATTTTTTAAATGGAAAACATACAACAACGGCTCTATTGACTTCACCAATGATCTCAAACGTTCAGAATTAGTCCAAGGTGTATTTAAACAAGTTCTGAAGCCATTGATCAACAAGAATTGAGAGAGAATCAAAGAGAAAGCCTTAAACTTATTGTTTGAGCATTTCAAGCCTATTTCCATTCAATATTCATTTTGCTTTTAAGAACACCATTTGTGCTCAATTGTATTTATTCTTGAGTGTTCTTTCTTTATTCTAGAATTGTGCAAACAATCTACCTTGTGAGGTTTTTTTGTAAGTTTGCGAAATTTGTAATCTTCTCTTTGGGAGAGAGTGTTCTCAAGAATTTGGGGTATAATTCTTGAGGAAGTTGTAAGGTTACTCTTTGTCCTCAAAAGAAAGACAAATTAGTGAATTTGTGGAAAATCCTTAGTGTGGATAGCTAAGGTAGTGGACGTAGACTTTGTTGAGAAAGTCAAACCACTCTAAATCCCTGTGCAAATATTTTTAATTTTCTGTCAAAGCTTCCACCAAATTTTTTAATTGTCAATTCACCCCCTCTTGGCTATTTCGTCGATCGATTAACTCAACAATTGGTATCAGAGTTAACTTTGCTTATCGGAAAAACATGATGAGATACTTCATTCAAGCTAGTGACATGGGAGCATGGAAAATCGTGATGAACGAATACTCTTAACCATTCATAGATCTAAATATGTGGAGTGAAGAAGAAACGAGAATGTTCCAGCTCAACTCAAAAGCTATCCATATTCTTTTCTGTGCACTTGGACCAGATGAATACGATAGAGTTTCATCTTGTACAACCGCCAAGGAAATATAGGATAAACTACAAGTCACTCATGAAGGCACCAACGAGGTAAAAAAATCAAAAATTAGTCTTCTTACTCATAGCTATAAAAATTTCAGGATGAATCCAAGAGAAGATATCAAAGCTATGACGGATAGATTTTTCGTGATTGTCAATGGTCTCAAAGCATATGGAGAAATCATTCCAAACGAGAAGCTTGTGAAGAAGATAATTTATTCCTTTTCAAAAGCTTGGCAATCAAAGAAGATGACGATTATCGAAGCTAAAGACCTAAAGTTTTTAACTCTCGATGAGCTTATTGGTTCTCTCCTCACGCATGAAATGATGATTCAAGATGAGGTAGACCTCGAGAAGAAGGACGAGACAAAGAAGGAGACGGAGAAAAAGAAAAATGTTGGAGTTGCTCTCAAATCTACAAAAGATGAGAGTGATTCTGATGATGATGACGATGATGAAGAAATGGCATTATTTTCCAAACGGTTCAGAAAATTAATGAAGCCCAACAGAGGAAGAAAATTCAAACGAAATGAAGGCTTCAAAAATGAACCAAAGGAGAAGGACCATATCATTTGCTATGAATGTAAAAAACCCCGGCATGTCAAATACGATTGCCCGCAATTAAAGAAGAAGAGTCAATCAAAGAAGAAGAACAAGGCACACGTGGCTACTTGGAGATATGATGATGAATCATCAAATGAAGAGGAACAAAATGAACCTGTGCTTGATGGCCACCGGGGAAGATTCTCAGGTATCCTCTAACTCATTTGATTTAGAAGATTATTCTTATGATGAGTTATTAGAGGAATACAATGGGTTGGCTTCGGATTATGAGAAATTATTTTCGAAATACAAGAAAGATATTTCAAAATTAAAAACGAAAATGATCTCATATCCAAGACCAACAATGATCTTGAAAGTAAAATAAAAGAATTGCAAATCAAAATCGAAGATATTGAAAAGAAAAATTCTGATTTGCATAATTTACTTTCAAGAGTCCATGATGATCATCAAAAGAAAATTGATGATCTTAAAGCTTCTTTCAATAAAGTTGGACCAAAACATTTTGAAAAATGAGAAAATTCAAAATCCAACTATATTAGATAAAGCTTTAAATCTTACAATCATAGAGGTCCCCAAAGAACCTCTAATGGTAAAATCGTTAGGAGCATATGGGTTCCTAAAGGACTCAATACTACTAAAGATAAGGATATCATAAATAAATGGATACCCAAGGCGACCAGAATTTTAGGGACTAATGAATATGGACCCAAAAGAATTTGGGTACCAAAAATTAGAAATTAATCTATGTTTGTAGGAAAAATAGCATTACTACAAGGCACGAAATACAAATTTAAATTCATGGTTCCTTGATAGTGGATGCTCAAGACACATGGCCGGAGACAATAGCTGGTTTATAGAGTTTAACGAAAAAAATGGAGGAGTGGTAACCTTTGGTGACAACTCAAAAGGTTACATTAAAGGAATAGGTACTATAGGTAATACCTCTTCCATACAAATAGAAAAAGTATTATATTTGAATGGGTTAAAGAATAATCTATTGAGTATTAGTCAATTATGCTATAAAGGATACAATGTATTGTTTGAGTCAAATGGTTGTAAAGTCATTGACATTGCATCAATCGGATTATGCTTATTGGTCATAGAATATGAAACATATAAATGGTGCATTTAGATTCTATTAATATGACTAACTTGTACCTAGTTGCTAAGGATGAACATGATAGTTGGTTATGGCATAGGAGACTAGGACATACAAGCATGAGTGTTTTACAAAGACTAATTCAAGGAGATTTAGTAAGAGGATTGCCAAAGCTAAAATTTGATAAAGATAAAATATTTGATGCATGCTCAAAAGGAAAACAAAAGAAAGTTTCCTTTAAATCCATTAATAATGTATCCACTGGTAGAGTATTACAATTGATCCATATAGATCTTTTTGGGCCAATTAGGACTACTAGTTTGGGTGGAAAATAATATGGTTTTGTATTAATAGATGACTATTCTAGATATACTTGGGTTCTATTATTAAGTACTAAAGATGAAGCATTAGAAAATTTCATAACGTTTTCAAAAGTAATCCAAAATGAAAAAGGTTACTCCATTTCAAGTGTTAAGAGTGATCATGGTACTGAATTTGAAAATATTGGATTTACCGATTTTTGTAATTCAAATGGGATTAGCCATAATTTTTCAGCACCTAGAACCCCTTAACAAAATGGAGTTGTTGAGAGGAAAAATCGGACTTTAGAGGAAATGGCTAGAACCATGCTTTGTGAACAATTTGCCAAAATATTTTTGGGCAGAAGCCACAAATACCGCTTGTTATGTTATTAACCGAGTAATGATTAGGCCTATTTTGAAGAAAACTCCATATGAAATTTTCAAAAATAAAAAGCCTAACATTAGTTATTTTCATCCATTTGGATGTAAATGTTTTGTTTTAAATAACGGTAAAGACAATCTTGGCAAATTTGATGCTAAAAGGGATGAAGGAATTTTTCTGGATTATTCCTTAAATTCTAAAGCTTATTGGGTATTTAATAAAAGAACTTTAGTGGTAGAAGAGTCTATACATGTTGTTTTCGATGATAATCCCCTTCTGAGGAAGGATTTTTGTGTTGATGATGACGTAGGTACTGTAAATACACATGACGTTGGAGAACTATCATCAAAGGAAAAAGTAAAGGATGAGGAAACTCAAGATGCCTTCAAGAATCTAACCATTGAAGAAAGGGAAATCACATAGCCAAGAGAATTCAACTATGTCAAGGATGGTGAGATTTTATGTGATCCATCCAAAGGGGTAACTACTCGAATTTCTCTTAGGAACGTATTTAATTATGTTGCATTTATCTCATGCATAGAG